AGGTCTCAGGAGAGGGAGATAGCACAATGGTGTGACCTTCAGCTAATAAAGCCCACCCTAGAGTCCAAAGAAGCTTGGGGAATATTGACAAAAGTTCATATTTACAACAGCCTGGACCCTTTCCAGATACCATTACGAGTCTAGAGAGCTGCAGCCTCTGCACATACACTCACACAGGCTTTTATTCTGCCTGCTCCTTTCTTTCTTTGTTCCCATGCTTGCAAAAATAAAAAAAAACATTAGTCAGAAAATGGCAATTCTTCTGCTAACAAGGTCCCACCAGTATCTTTTTTAATGAAGAGAGTTATTAGAAATTTCGATTTCAACCTCAGCACTATCCTCTGCTTGAAGGAGATTCAAGGCCTCTTGCAAGGATTCTCGGTGCGTCATCGTGCTCATCAGGAAGAAAGCATATGTGTTTTTGTGGAAAATCTGCTGATTTATTTATAATTCTTTCAACAAAAAGGCAGCCAACATATTGTAAAATGAGAACGTTGTTGGGTTGTTTTTTTTCTTTTTTTTTCCAAATAGGCACTGGCAATCAACACAGCCCATCAGAAACACAACCCCAAAGCGTTTTCAGGCAGAAACTGATCCCCCCCCAGTCTGCGTTGTGGTTGGCAAAATGACGTTTAGCCCATAACTAGAGTGCACAGGCATGACTGAAATACAAATAATAATAATATTTTAAAAATTGTTCATACGGTGAAAAAAGCCAATTTCAAAACATAAAAACTGTTTGAAGCTGAAGTTTCATTTTTCTGCCTCCTAAAATAGTTCCAAAACAAATATATAAAAATAAAGGTTTGGAGGAAATCTGTTTTCAAGGGTAAGTTCACTGAAATCAATATTAAATCTCAAAACATTTAATGGAAATAACATCTTCAGTGACAGAACTGTTCTGACCGCACTCTTCATGCCAGTCTGCCATTTTTATTTATCTGCCTCATAATTCATCTTTGCCATCCTGAAACTAATCCTGCTGGGGCTCAAAAGGGATCAGGAAACTGGAACAGGTTAGAGCTTCTCCCAATAACATCTTTTGAAAGATGCCTCTGTGTCGTGGTGGTCTCGTTTCCCTGGCCAGTGTTTAACAGGCAGGAAGAAGGTTGAACAGACCACACATTTCTCACTTCTGCAGCTTTTCTTTCCAGTGAAGAACCCTCTTCCACCCACCGCTACAGTTACCTCAGCTACAAGGACTTTTCCAAGTTCCTAGTTTTGGCCCAAGCAGGCATTTTATTCTCTCTCCTCATCCCACCCAGCCACACTCTCTGTCAGAAGAGCCCAGGTGATTGATTACAGCCTGTCTGCACCCAAAGTAGTCAAATCAGACATTAATGCCGTGCTTAACGTGCCCACACAAACAGGGTCGTTGGTTGCATCAAGACTAATAGAAGATGACACGCACTGGGACTGCACCACCCAGGGTGTTCCTCAGGACAGAGGCGCCACTGGCTCGGCTGCAGCCACATTTCCATCAAGGCCAAGGCCAACCACCCTTCATCCCTGTTCCCAAATGCAGCTGCAAATTACATTTGTCTTCCCTCTTGGGGTGAGCTGACAAAATCAATCAGCAACACCGAAATGAGGAAGTGGTGTAAAGTATCAGAAGAGAAATAAAAAGAGTCAATAGCGCCATCAAAAAGACAAAACCAAGTTCATCTTGGAAAAGCATCAACTAATCCATCTGTGGGGAAGTTACACTGGACCGTGATACTCTACTAGAAAACTGGAGAAGTGAAAGGTATTGGGTTCCTCCAGGAGGAAACTGGAGCTCTGCTTGGAAAGCTGGAGCCCAGGAGGGTAAAACAGCCATTATCAGCCTACCTGAGGTCATGGAGATGCAGAAAAGGCTGCTGGAAACAAAGTAAACCACAGTTTTCTATGGATAAGAGAAGGCACTACAAATGGTAACATGAAATACTTGGAATCAGTTTCCAAGATCATTTATTTCTCTACTCACTGTTCCAAGGATGAGAGGTTCTGTCTCCTGGCTGCCACCAGGGCCCTAACTAAGTGCTTTTCATTGCCTAAACCTTTAAACCAGCATTGTTTCATTTATAATAACAGTGAGTTCCTACTGAGAAGCTCCAGAAACAACTGTGTCTGGCAGTAATTTTATACCTGTTTTCCACGGCAGAACCCTCTAGCTCTCAGGAAACCATGGGATATTAAGTGTATCCCAGAGGAGCAGGTCACATCTTCTGCTGCGGTGGATGGGCAACTGCTCCCAACTTCTGCCCTCTTCACTTCCAAACCACAAACACTCAGAAAGCCTTGCTTTTAGGGTACAGTTTTAGTAATGAATACTGGAGTTAAAAGGCTGAAAAAGCAAGCAAGCTCTGTTCTGAGAGGGTGTAATAATCCCACCTGTGGCTGTCACCAACACGGTCCCCTGCACCCTGCCTTGGAGCACAAAGAAGGGAAACCTAAGTGGGCCTGCTTGTGGTGCTGCATGACATGGTGCAAGGCTTTGTCTTCCCTGAGTGAAGAGGCAAAAAGAAAAATACAAATAATCAGGTCTTGAAGCTGCATAGAATTAAGACTTAGTATCAGCCAAGCTGGTGACTGATCTTGGAGGCCTTTCCCTCTGAATTCCTCCCTGCTGCTGTGATGTGCTCACGCTGAAAATTTTCCCTTGAGCAACTGCCTGACTAAAATACAGCACACCCTTACCATAAAGCCCTTTGTTAAAACATCTTTGCCATAAAGCTGCAAAACCCTGGCACCCAAGTACATTAAATCCTTATAAACCTGCCTTCGTTTTAACCGCGCTGTATTTCAAAACACAAAGCGCTTCTTCTGAGAGATAGCACTTTAATGAGGAGAGGGGTAAAATATATAAACCAAACCTCATTATAGCATAATTTCTAGGAGACAAGCATGCTGCTATAAAGAGAAGCCATGGAAATAGCATTTCACATAGCTTGAAGATTTAATACTTTTAAAAAGCCACTGCTACTTCCAGCCTTTGGTGGCGTTCTGCTTTGAACATAACAGAAACAGGCAGAATTATGGGCCCACTGTCAGCTATGTATTTTATATTCTGTAAATTGCTGCAAATGGTAGATTCAACCCTACCGCCTGCTCACAGAATGTAATGTGCCAGTAAGAGTCTGACTACAAGTTACTATTGTATACCATTGTATACTTTTACCTTTAAACCTCTGCATTCATTGCTTTAAACATGATGATGTAGCAGATGGACATGGTAGATCACCCAAACCAGATCCAATTCATACTGGATTGAAAGTGCTTATAATTATATTATACTGCTTGTTGACGAGCTAACAACAATGCCAAAGAAACCTTCCAAAAACCACACGACAAGAAAAACCCGCAGGATGAACACACAAATGAAAGGAATGGATATAATGCCGTTTAATACCACCCGTCAGATAAATCAGGGTAAGTGGCACATCAAAGGGACTGCAATTAGTTTCCAAAAATGAGAATACTAGTGTGGTTTTTTTTTTTTTTTTTTTTTTTTTTTAATCTGAAACTCGATTGGCTTTCTACAAAATGACAAGTGGATCAGCCTCTCTCAGCCAACAAGAAAAATGTTACTGGAAAAAACTGTACTCCCTAAGAGCAAATTATCTGGCAAAGGAACATCCTGAATTACATTGGTCTACAAGACTTTTAAACTTAATCTAATAAAAAAAAAAAGCCATTATTGATTACAGTTCTTCCACATTAGTCTTCCAGTTGTAACTTCTGAAATGAAAGCTTAGCAATGATTAAGTATTTACTACAATCAGTAGAGAAAAATAGCGAAAAAGATGAGCATAAAGGCCACCAAAGAAACAACGTACTTTGGAGGGGGGAAACAAAACAAGCAGAAAACCCCAACCCCCCCAAATAACCCCACCCCGAGCCCAACAACAGCAAGGGGAGATGCACCTCATGGCAGCTTTGACTTGAAGCACATGTAACACTGATTGATGGATACTGCAAGCAAAGACACCAGTGGAAAATTAACTCCAACCAAGCACCAAAACTGGGACAGGTTTCTTGTGTTCCCTGGTCCTACTTTAGAAAAACTACGCAAGAAGAGTCAGAATTCCAGGAGACGATCGTTCTAGCTACTGTCACAGATCTGGGTCAACAGCAGGGTAAAAGGGGACCTGTAACTGATGCCTGTAACCTGGGGAGGATAAGCATTTCCTCTTAGCTCTTTGCTGTGGTTTATAATGACTGATGTTCTGGACTGAAGGGTGCTTATTCTCCCTGATTACCAGAAGGTTCAACACTTACTACACGGCTACGCCGGTGGAGTGGCACTTCTGACTGCAGTTCTCAGAGAGGACACCTGAAGAGAACACAATACACCGAGCCCTTTTTCTAAATACAGAGCAAATGAATTTTGCTTTTGGGTCCTGTTTCTGAGACACTTTTCACAATTTTCGTTTTTACTGATGTGACTCTTCTCTCCAGGTTTAGAGCAAATGGATAACAGGTTCCTCCTTCACCATCATCACTCTCTTATGAGTCACAAGAGGCTTTTTCAGCTCTTACCAACTTTACCACGGGAGAAGACAGCAGGCTGGACAAATCTGAGGCAGCACGTCAGCACACAAATTAGAACAGGATGTCTGGGGTTAAGGTAACCCAGCCTAGCACGTGCCTCCCCTTAACTCAACTTTATTGTTTTTCTGCTTGGCTGTGCAACTAAACCTCGAGGAAGAAGACAGGTGCAAGCAAGCGCACATGCTACTTTTGTTTTACAATCTTCCCACTTCCTCCCTTAATAGCCGAGGGTTTGGGGTGCTAGAAACAAGAAGCCTTATGACAAATGTGCAATGAGACCCTGAGCTAACAGGTTAGCTGACATGGAACTGTTAACAGTGAATTGGCTTGGAGACAGTGGTGGGAGGGAAGGGGAAAAAAAAAAAAGGGGAGACAGAGTGAGAGAGACAGATAGCAACCAATTCAGCTGCAGGAAATCAAGCTAAATCAGTCCCAAGTGCCCATGTTGGAGAGACTTGATCTCATACCTTGCTTGTTATCAAGGCACTCCTGATACGAGTCAGCTCCAGTTCCGTTGCGGTCTACAGACAAAACAAAAAGTTTCATTCATATCAAACATAAATATTAGAAACTTCTCAAATGGCAGCCGTGCTGGAGCAACACGTTACGTGCAAACAGCGCTAGTGCTTTTGGAGGCCAGGCTGGTTCGCTGACAGAACCTGTGACTGGTCACAAACAGGCTACAACAGACTGACACCAACACGAGAAACTCCTTCCAGTCCTGGGCCAGTGCTTTGCTCCCAGCCCTGCCCATCTGTCTCCACAGCTCTACTCCTTCTGAGGAAGTTCCCCACGCACATGGAAGTTAAATCTACTGTTGCACTGTTTCTGTAGGCCCTGGAAGGGCACTGGTTTGAACGAGCAGAACACAAACCACAGAACAGACTTCTCGGGGTTCTGCGGTCCCTGTTGCTTTTTGGTTGCTACACTGTATTACAGACAACTGAAAATACAAAACAAAGTTTCCAAATATTACTTTTCCACGGAAGCAATGTTACTGTAGTTTCCACTGGGGTTATCTGATCCAGCAGCAGGAAAGGAGCTGGTCTGTGCCACAAAAATGGGGAGAAGCTGAGACTCCTGTACCCGTGAGTGCTGCACACAGGGAACAAACCAGACAGCTCCCAAACACAGCTGTGGTGGCCTCTCACATCCAGCATGGGTATCACCTAACAAAACCCTCCATCTGCACTAGAGGGTCAATTGTATCTCCCTGCCTGAGTGCAAAAATGGTTTAACCTGTAGGTTTGCAGAATCGGGTTACAGCATGGCTTGGACCTCAAAAGCAAACCAAAGAATGTTCCAGCACGGCCTCTGCTCCTGGCTTTACAGTTCAGTTCAAGCACAAAAACTGCCTGGATGGTCCTTGAGAAAAAATATTAAATACACCTGTAAACCCTGGATAAACGAGTGTTCTTTCAGCAGCTTACATGCACCTTACACACCTGGCTACATCTGAAGGAGTCAAGCAGCTGAGCCCATGAGACAGGCACGTGCACGACCTCGAAGAGTGACATTTTGTACATCACGGGTCTAAGAACGAACATGGTGCTAAAATCAGCCCTCCTGTGTAACCACCAAACCGTTTGATGAGGTCACCCATGGCATGTGCTCCTACCATACCAACTCCAGTGGCACTGGACACAGTTTTATCTACGTGGTGATCACAGCTAGTAAAGAAGTCACTCATCCAGGCCGAACTGGGGTGGCCAAGACATCCCGTAATAGTATTTCAGTCTCACCATCAGGAGAACCAGAACAACAGCAACGTGTTAATTTCTTTGCAAAGATGCTGTTCAGAGCCAGAAGTTTATAAATATTGTTCACAACAGAAAAAAAAGACACCCAGGAGAACCTTCCCACCCAGGCACCTGCAAACAAATGCATTTCTGTATCTCCAACAAGCCACCGGTCCCTGACTATGACGGCTTTCTGGCATCGCTCACGTGTGGCAAACACATTCCCACATCAGCTGCCCTTTCATCCTTGCTCAACCATCAGCTGGTGATGGCTCCTTGAAGACGAAGAGATCCAGATCCCAGTTAAAAGGCTTCACATTCAGCAATAGTATTTAATGAACAAAGAAGCAAAAATTGAAGTTGCCCCACTGTTTGTGTTGTGTAAATCACAGATAATAGATCTCCCTAATCCTAATGAGGCCTTCCTATTAAAATCTTTATTAGCTTTCAGCTCTGCAGATTGCCCAAAGGCTCATCAGTTTCCCTATCTCGCAGTACCAAGATCTGCTTTAACTTTTACAAATAGCTCTAAGATATTTCTCAGCTTATCAGCATTGCCAAGCAGTCTGTCTTATCATTACTATTGCAGATAAAATAAATGAGCTCACGATGATATGAATAATGGCATTTTCTGTAGGCTGGTTTCCCATTACATTTTCAACAGATTGTAGATTTAAACTTAAGCACAAAAGGAAAAAAAAAAAAATAAAAAGGAAGCAGGGGGGGAGGGAGGCAAAGGGTGGTTATATTTTTCCTTCCCGTTTGCCTTCAGTGTCCCAGAGCCCAGGCTGCATTTTTAAGCTCACCTGACGAGAGCTAGTAATTAATTTTGAAAGGGAGCAGAAACACCTCAGCTCTGCTTTCTCTGAAGACCAAAAGCCCAGTTACTTCTGGGATGTTTTTTCAGCTGCGTTTGTTGGACAGAAGCAAGGGCTACACCGCGCTCTGCCTAATGAAGCTATCTTCATTAGCTTGCTCCCTTCCCCAGCAGCCGAGGAATACCAGTCAGACTGGGAATTGAAATCATGAAAAGCCAACAGAACTGCATTTGAATTAAAAGGCTGAGCCACAAAGGTCTCCGACGGCTGCTCGGGGCTGATTAGCGCGAGGCGCGCGTGGCACCGGCGCGGCACGGAGCGACCTGCACCGAGCACCGGCGCCCAGAAAGGCAGAGCGGCCGCGGGAGACGGGAGGGGAGGCTGCAGGACCAAACACGGCTCTGCCTTCCCCCGGCAGCGAGCTGGGAGGTCACGTCCTGGCAACCATCTTCTGCCTGGGCCCCGCAGCAATCACTGCAGGGTTAAACGCTTTTCCGCTCCCCAAATTCCTCGCCCTGTCACCGTATCAAGGTTATCTATTATTGGCAGTGACAGGTGAAAATTAATCTCCTAATTATTTCTTGCTGCGTAATCTGCACTGAAGGAGCAACGTAAAAGGATTACAGTACACCCTCCACGGAAGGCTTTGCTAGAGAGCAAATCATCCAGGGAGACAGAGGGGATGTGGGAAAGAGATATTTATGACAGGTTTCCAACCATTTTGAAGGCAGACTATGCTATAACTTTATAACCTACAGCTCTGGAGTAAAGATATTCTTGCAGGTATCTCAACAGCCTAAACGCTTTTTACTGTTGATTCTTCCAGGGAAAAAAAAACTCCAAGATTTATACCTGTTATGACCCACCTACATACAGATGTTTTTTACCCCCCACAGAAACCCTATGGCAAACAATGTGCCCAGCCTGCTTCAAGTCAGTATCAGAAATCTTGTAGTTGCCATTCACAGCAATTTAACTGGAACATTTTTTTTTTTTCACGAGATCATAAGCTAGGCAGAGTACTTCCAAACACAAAAGTATTTTTTAAAAAAACCTCATTTTGTAAGCAAGCTAGAAATATCTTTGTTAGCAACACAAACAGGCACCTTGAAACGCCGGCTTTGTGTAAACTCCAACTCTCCTCCTACCACCCACCAGAAAGTAAGGTTTATTTTTACAGCGTTGAAGAACACCCATTTTATTTATCTTTAACCCTTTCCATGCAGCCAGATAAGGTACAAATGGATGATCTGGAGAACCTATTTTTCTACATCCATGTCAACAGCACCATCCTAGTTAAAGTTTACAAGAACAAGCAATCCCAGGTTGTGTTTAGAATTACATTAGCTACCTTGAGCAATACTGGTGTGCTAACCCATGACTGTGAGACGGTTCAGGGGGTCACTGTGAAACCCCTGCAGGTAACGGGACAGGGCAGCAAGGAAGAACACACCCTGCAATCAAGTCCTGCCGCCACTATCAGCCACATTTATTTTCCATTTCCTTGAAGGCAACCTTTTCCACCATTGCAGAAACATGACCAGTTCCTTTATGCAAACTCTCAGTGCTTAAAAAACCCAACACTACCCTCCACCTCGCTGGATATCCAAGCCCCCACGCAGACTCTGACAGCGGTCAGCAGTGCGGTCTCTGTTTCCAGCGGTGGGGATGCCGTGGGTGCAGCAGTGGGGGGAGCATCAGTGTCCCCCATTGCGGGGGGAGCATCAGTGTCCCCATCGCAGGGGGAGAGTGGCAGTGACCCCATCCCAGGGTGGGGAGCCGCAGTGTCCCCATCAGGGCAGTGTCCCCATCATGGAGGGGGGAGCATCAGTGTCCCCATGACGGTGGGGGGAGCCTCAGTGTCCCCATCAGGGCAGTGTCCCTATGACGGTGGGGGGAGCATCAGTGTCCCCATGACGGTGGGGGGAGCCTCAGTGTCCCCATCACGGAGGGGGAGCCTCAGTGTCCCCATCACGGAGGGGGGAGCCTCAGTGTCCCCATCGCGGCGCTCCGAGGGGCCGGGCGGGCGCAGTGCGCGCTCTCGGCCACGCGGGGGCGCGCACAGTGAGCGCTGCGAGCGCTCCCGCCCCGCTCCCGGGGCCGCGCCCGCAGCTCCCAAAAAACCAGCGCGGGCTGCGCGGCCCCGACTCCACCAGCACGGCCACCGTCAGGGGTCACTGCGCCTCCTCGGAGCGCACAGGCCGCTGCCAGAGGAAGCCGCCGAGCTGGAACGCGTTTGCAGCTCCGGGGGCAGAGAAAGCCGGACGCGCCACCCGAAAACGCTGCCGAAATCACCGGCGTTCGGGTTCGAAACGAGCGGCTCGAATTAGGCAAATTCCCCAGCGGTGACAGAGGTGTTAAGGTTTTGTTCGCCCTCCCCTCTGTTGGTTTTAACACCTCTGGGCCAGGCGCTGTGGCCGCCCGGCTCCCGGAGCCGCGGACTGCGAGCATCAACAGCGCCGAGGGGCAGCTGTGTGGAAATGAATGATTTTCCTCCTTCAGGCAACTGCTACTAAAAAACGAAGGCTGTATTTCAGTGATTTTTAACAAGCGCTTGCTTCTCCATCTGAAAGGCAGCTCCTAAGTGATCCTCAGGATATCATAAGGACTCTGAAAACACATAATCAGCTACTAAGTTTTATGAATCCACACATCACCTCTATGCATTTCTATGTATTTCATTTTCACCAGCACGAAGACAATTCGCGTTCACATCATTGAGGCTAGATATTTTCTTCTCCTCAGGACCTATCTTCAACAGATAAACAGAAATAATTTAACAAAGCCCAGAACAGAACATAAGCTCTTAATGGTTTACCCTTGGTGTTAAGTAAATGAGGAAATTATTCACTGGCATCTCTCATCTTGTGGACGTTTCAATCCTACGCTTAACTAGTCTCTAGCATAGTAGTTATGAGAACAAAAAAAATGTGTATAGAGGCGAAGTGTACCCACCTACTAACA